GACAACTTTTGCAAATATTTCATCTTCTAACAGTAGATTTTTGTAAGTGCGTAAATATGATTAAAAAATTATCCAAATTATGGAATTAATTTTTCATAAAAGATACAAATTATTTATTTAAGTTTGGTGGAACGGAGAAATCTAATTTTATTCACAATATAAAATGTCTATAAAATCTGTCTCTACCCCTTTGAATAACTTTTCAATATTATTTACGCACTTAACAAAATCTACTGTTAGAAAATAGAATATTTCCAAAAGTTGCAAAAAGTAGCACATTATTTATATAGTCTTTAAAATATGTACTACAAAGAATCTAATTATGGTTTGATTTTTTTGGATGAAGCTGAATGAAGCTTTTTCTACTCAATAATGTATACTAATTACACAATAAAAAGTAATAGTTACATTTCATTAAATTTCTTTAAACATACAAGAATTAAAGTAAAACACAACGTAAACTGAAAAAAACATAATTTAACCTTTTAAACAAACACAAAAATATTGCAATTTAATTGCAAAAATATACTTTCATAATTATGTAAAGACAATATAATTTTCCAGTAACTAACTGCTCTGAAAAACTGTTATTATGGGCTTTGTTATAACACAATCAGAATATTTTACCGGCCTTATTATGATATAATCTGCATTATAAAAGCATAAATAATACTTTACTACGTTATTTGATTTATTTTAAAAATATTGATTTTTTCTAGTTTTGTCCAGCTAGATTTGCATTTAATCCGACTGTGCGTTATAAGAATTTTATTGATAGAACTCTTCGGGGGCGACCAAAACTTCCGTCAAAACTTCTGAAAAAATTTTTTTAATTTTAGGGGTGGCACTTTGAAAGGCTGTAACTTATGAAATATTGGTCGGAGCGATTCGGTACCTAATAGTTTTCGATAGAACTCCTCGGGGGGCCACCAGAACTCCAGCGAGAACTGCCGATTTCCGAAAAAAAAAAATTACCTTTCGGGACTTAAAATATTTTCGAGGTGCGGTACTTTGAGGGCCTGTAACTTTTGAAATATTGGTCGGAGCGTTATAAAACCTATAGGGAACTCTAGTACTCGTCGAAATCTTTCTGAATCTACCATAAAAAATTGATTTTAAAAATAAAGTGGAAATTTTTTGTTTAACTTTGACATTGATTTTTGGGCTTATTTGAACGGAACTCTTTTTAAAACCTATAGGGAACTCTAGAACTCATCGAAATCTATCCGAAACTACCATAAAAAATTTATTTTTTCAAAAATAGGGGCGCGCCGTAAAGTTAGCCCCCTTTTTTTAAAATGGCGTTTTCACCACTTTAAATGACGGAACTCTCTTTAAAAACTACAGAGAACTCTAGAACTCTTTCTGGGGAATCCAGAACTCTAATAAAAATTTCCGAATTTTAAAAAAAGGGGGCCAACTTTACAGACATAAATGTTTGTCTCTCGACGCTGTGCGTCCAATAATAAAATAAAAACCAATAAAATATATCTGAGACTTTATCTCTGCTCAATCAACTAAAATATTGTAATCTCTGGCCTTTCTGGCTCGCAACACTATTAAAACTTTGTGACTTATGATAAAACGTATTACAATGTTCGTCGCGCACGGGTTTTAGATGTCCGTGGCCTCTGGTTGGTCCGTGGCGGTTGGATCTTCTATGATGTCCTCCGTCACTGCCAATTTTTCTAGGAGTTAATACTGATAAGTTTTAGGAGTTAATACTGATAAGTCTTCAGGATCATCTGATAGTCGACACAAAGGACGAGAATTAAGCACAACTTCAATCTGAATGAGTAGGGTAGACATTTCTTCTTAAGTAAGTTAAGAGTCACCGATAGTTCGTTTTAAATAGTATTTTACTGATTTAACTCCCGCTTCCCATTTACCTTCGAAATGAGGAGCGGAAGGAGGATTGAATTTCCATTGAGTCCCATCGTTTATCAAACAAGCCGATATCTGTTTCCATTCATTTGACGATGCTGAAAAAAGGTTTTTGAGCTCTTTATCAGATCCCTAAAAAGTACCGCAATTACTAGTCAGTGTACCTTCTATATGCGGCGATAAAAGCGTCAGTAGAGTAATCAGTAACCAATTCTAGGCGAATTGCTAAGGTTGCAATTATACCCTTTGTAAGTTTTAGCATTTCGTCCTCTCCATGTTTTAATTGTAAAAAGTTCTGCGTAATCTACCCCTGAATGGAGAAACGGGCGAGACAGAGTAACTCTCTCAACAGATAATTGCCCCATGAGCTGTTGAACTCGTTGTTAACGATATCTAGTACATTTTACACACTTCAAAATAAATGACTACCGCGACGCGGCCTCTCACAATCCAGTAATTTTAACGAATCAATGACAAAGTAAGTTGGGTTCCTCAAAGTAATGTACGAGAGTGCGCATCAGATAAAAACAGAGTAGTGAAAACAAAATTCTTTAGCAAAATAAAAGGATGCTTAGCAGTGTCTGACAATAGCGAATGTTGCAACCGACCGCCTACTCGAAGCTATCCATGAGAATCAATATACGGAGTAAGTAATGATAATGCACTTGACTTAGGAAGTGACTGTCCTTGCAATAAGACCTTAAATTCTGAAGAGAATGAACAATGTTGAATTGATTTTATCCAAAACTGTCGTTCAGTTTCACTAACAGTAAGATACGAGCTTAATTCTGACTTTTCATTACGCTTTAACTTAGTAATCAATCTACGACACAAAGCTGTAATTCTTAATAATTTTGTAAGATTTGAATACCGGAAAAGAAGATCCCTTAGTGAGTTTCATAGTCTTCGGTTAATCTAAATGTAATGTGAAATTGAATTGATCCGTGGATGGATGCCATGCTAATCCGAGAGCGTGAACAATTGAGGAATCATCGATTTGAACAGTTGATGTTAGTAGGGGGGCAACAGGTACTTTTACACTCGGGGATCTCGCTTGCGGTTACGCGGCGTCGGGGGGGGCTTTGCTGCCGCGGGGGGAGCGCCGTAAGCGGTGGGCGC